GGCACAGGGACCAAGGAGAGTATCAGGGAGCATCCGCTGACCCCCTGCTCCTCGAGGGTCCCTGCCTAGTGCCTCTTACACTGAAGTGAAGGGTTGACTTCGTCCCCAGAGACCTCCAGGGAAGGAGGTGCTGCTGGCCCCTTCTCTGCCTGTGGGAAGGTTCTTGCTTCTCTCTTGCCCCAGGGCTTGTTGCTGCAAGCCTTACTCATTCTTTCCTTGCCATCCATCCCCTTATCTTTACCTGCTTTTGCTGAAGGGGAAACTGAGGCTCAGAGAGGTATTACCACTTCATCACAGAGCGTTGGCCATGAGGATGGGGGAAGGGAGTCCAGGTGTCATGCCACTCTTAGTCCAGTACCTGGACCCCCAATGCCAGGAAGCTGGGTATTCATCTGATCAGCTAGAACTTCTGACACCCCTCCCTGACCCACCCCAGCCTCCCAGTCCTTCTCTCCTCCATTTGTTCCTTCCTCCCCCTCTTCTTCCTAAAAGCTGGCTGTCTACTCACCTGAGCACCTGGTGGCGGGGAGGGGGCAGGCTGGGGGAAGGAGACAGCCGACCCACAGCTGGATCCAGTCTCGCATTCCAAGCCCCCACCCAGTCAGCATCCTGTCTCCACCAGACAATAACCTGTAATCTCCGGAGCAGCCAATACCCCGACCACAAAGAAGGTCTGGGAGGGCTGGCAGCAGCAGCTCCTGAAAACAGGTTTGTTAGGAAGGGGCTCTGGGGGGAAGGAGTTGTTTGTGTGGGGAGAGGAAGGAAACTCAAGCCCAGAGCTAATTAACCCACCCAGAGACACAGACGGAATCTTTGTCTTCTGAGAGGGCAGCGATCTGAACTAAGCCCCCTAATTCTCTACCCAGACAGCCTTGCTCTTCCTGGTGGGTCCCGGGGGAGGGGGTACTGATGGTCAGGGTCATGCCTGGGGGAGGGGAGTGATGGGCATCCAGGGTGAGCATGGGGCACTTCCATCACCTGCCACCAAAGGAGAGTAGCAGCAGGAGTCACTGGTTAGACTGTAAGAAGAACTTCTCAGTGGCTTGGGGGACACAGTTTCTTTGAAACACATACCCAAAAGCCTCAGGATGGGTGTGGGAGGGGGTGAATGAGGAGGAACCAGCAACCCAGGGCGATGCTGAAGGATGGGGACAGGCTAGAGGGCTTCCGGGCATCCTGATGGGACTGAAATTAATCCATCTGCGGGTAGTGGGGGGGTGAGGCGCTCATCAAGCCAGTGACTCAGGTGTGACCTGAGCTCAAGGTCTTTGATCTCCAGGGCCCAGAGTGCAGCCAGAGGCTTCCACAGTCAAAGACCAGGAGAGATGGGGGACTGATTCCAATGTGAGCTATAGGGTGCAGAGTAGGGAGGCCTCGACCTGCCACTCTGACCACTACCCTCCTTCCTGCTGATAGGCACAGGGACATCTGGTACAGCCGCAGCTGTCCCCATAGTGTCTACCTTGCATTCCCCACCCAAGGTCCCTCTGGCCATTTCAGCAAGCCAGAGCTTAAGTCATTTCCCAAAACTGCTTCTCTCCCCTCCGATGGGTGTTCAGTGCCGTGTTGCATTGGATGCTGGGGGCAGGGAATGGGCCACTCTGCACTGATGGCTGGGTTGGTCCTGCCCAGAGACAAGGGAGAGACTGGTTGGCTTTAGAAAGCCCTCCCCCCACCACCTCCCAGCCAGCCTAGGGGCACAGGACATGGCTGGCATCTCCCCATTTTTCAGTTGAGGACACCAGGGCCCAGGGCAGAGGAGTGGCCGTGGGCCCAAGCATTTGTGGAATGCTTTTGCTGGGAAGTGGCCTGTCTTCTCTGGGCCATCCTCCTGCCCACTCCAAAACGTGATGGCTCAATCTCTCCTACTATCTACTGCTGTCCTCGGCAGGGTGTGGGGGTGGGTGGTGTGAGACAAGATTTAGAGTCAGAAACCTGGAGGTTTCTGACTCTAAAGCCAGCTATGTGGCCTTGGGTATGTTACTTCATCCCTATGAGCGCCAGTATCCCAATTTGTAAAGTGAGGACTGATGCCATCAATCACTCCTAGGATGGCTGGGGGGAGGGGATGCCACCCCACATGTGCAAATGCTTTGTAGACAGCTCAGCTCCTAAGCAGGTGCTCCACATGGGACTGGGGGCGGGGGTTGTGGCTCGTCGCCAAGCTGTCCCTCCACGCCCTGTGCTGGCCCAGCATCCTCTTCAGAGGTTAGAGCTGGGAGGGTCCAGGTAGCAAACCTTTCTCTCTTTGCAGGTGTTGGACAACCATGCAACGTTGTTTAGGGGTGTGTGTGTGAGCTGATCAATAGGTCATTGAGTTTGGCCTTATTGCGGGGAGGTTCCTATACCCCCCTTGGGAGGAGGGGTTGGGAGCTGAGAGATGGCTCAGGACACATTCCTGAAGAATGAATGGGCCTCCTGTGTGGGAGACAGACATGGGGAAGTACCTGGAGGAGGGGACATGGGGAAGCGTGGGGTACCTGCTGTTTCCCCATCCCATGCCACCACGGTACTCCAGGCTCAGTCAGTGCTAGGAGTGAGAATTCAAGGAGCCTGGCGTGGCTGAGGAAGGGGCCTCAGGCATTGGTGAGGAGGCAGGAGAGGAAGAGTGACCCCCACCTCTGTATCTCCCTCCCGCAGACAGCCTCAGGGACGTGGGCAGGAGAGGGTCCCTGCCTCACTGCTTGTGACCGCCTGTCACTGTGGAAGTCTCCAGCCCCATGGGCCCCTAATCAAAGTGACAGCTCTCAGGGAACAAGTGCCCCTCCTGGCTGCCACAGGACTGAGACCTCGTGTCTCAGCGTGGCATACAGCCTGGACAGCGAGTGTCTGGGAACAAAGCAGTGTGTCAAGGGCTCCTCACATGTAGCCTAAGCCTCCCCACAGTAGGTGTGGCTCCCTCCACATTGCCCCAGGGAGCTCCGCTCAGCTCAGCCACGCCCTAAGGGGTCTCTGCTCTTTGTGGAGAGAGGCGCACCTGCCCAGTCCCCACCATGGGCAAAGCTAGAAGAGGCGTTCAGGACGCCGACAACCCTGCAGTGCCTCCCCTCACCCCACCCCCACCTCAGGGGCAGTTGCTAGCACCTTCTTGCTGGTTCCATGTCTGCCTCCCCGTCTAGATTGTGAGCGCCAAAGGCAGGCCTTGGGGACTCAGTGGGTATCCCAGCGTCCTGCACAGGCGGCACAGGGCTGGATGGGGAGGTGATGGACAGACAGATAACGGGATGGACAGTGACCTAACAGGGCTGACTTAACAATTTAGACTGGAGCACCCAGCCTCTCCTGCAGACCCAAACCAACCCAGTACTCAGGAAGCCAGGTGGGCGGGAGGTCCCCATCCCTCTGGGCAGCCTGTCCCTTGTTCTGGAGCTGTGGTCTCTTCTCACCCCACAGAGACTCTTTCTACCTTGGCATGGCGGGGTGGGCAAGGGGGGGGTGTTGCCACAGGGCCGAGTGCCCAGGAAGTAAGGCCTGAAGACCCTGCGTTCTGAGGAGAGCAAGGGCCGGACAGCTCCCTTGGGCCGCACAGCTCCCTTGGGCCGCAGGCCTGGCCTTCCCCGCCCAACACCGGCCTCCGGTCCCACTTCCCTCTCAGCACGGCACCCACTTTTTGATAACAGCTGCCGTCCACAGCATGGCCCCAGCCAGAGCCATCCAGGCCACCACCCTCCCCCGAAGCCCTCACGTCCCATCAGTCACCACGTCTTGACTGTTCTGCGGAAGAAAAGGCTCCAGAATCTGTTTCTCCCTCCCATCCCCCTTTCCTTCTCACATACCCCCAAGTCTCACCCTTCCCCCGCACCAGAGACGTCTAGAAACACTAACTACTGCTCAGACCGCTTCGGTGATGCCCATCACCTTCAGAACAAAGGCCAAGGCCAGTGTGGTGGCAAGGCTCTCGCAGGTGGCTCTTGTTGTCCCCCCAACTCCCCCACGCCCCCCGAATGCCCAGAGACTGCTCACCACTCCTGGAGAGCCACACACCTTCAGGCCCCGGCGTGTCTGCTGTAGGGGCTTCCCTGCCTGGGATTCCTGTCTGTCTCCAATATCCACCGTCACTGTCACTTCTCTGAGGCTCTCCCTGACTTCTTGTGTCAATTCACCTCTCCCTCCTCTGACTTCTCGAAGCACCCTGTACCCACCTCTAGGAAGCCTGTTATTATCTTAGAACGAACTTGTCTCCATGTGTAGTTATTCTGACAGCTCTTTCCCGACAGGCAGATATGACGCCTTTTAAAAACATGACTCCCCCAAACAGCAGCTTGCACCTAGTAGGTTAATAAATATTTGATGAATTAATGAGTGAGTCTTGAACCCACACACACACATACACCCTCCAGAAACATCCACCAACCAGTCAGATGTACTCTTGCTCAGAGTCACAGCCTCAGTGTCCAGCCCGAAATACTTGGGTGGAGGAGTTGGTCCCAGCCACCAGGGCATTCCCCATCTTTGCTTAAGCTGTGACCCCTGCCTAGAATGTCCCTTCTCCTGTCATTTATGTTCCAGGCTCAGCTCCCTTTCCTTCAGGAGGACTTTCCTGGTGACCCCAGGTAGAACTGCCCTTTTGCCTTTGTGCTTTTGGGGGGTATGTCCCATGTGACACCACATCCCCCGCCCACCCTGTTCTTTTCATGTCTGTCTCCACCCAAAAGACAGACTCAGTCTTGGGGCAGATGCTGAATGGGGAGACTAGATCTTATTTTTCTCCACCTTCTGGAGTGGAGGAGGCAGTGGGTGTCCCATGACTATCACCAAAAGAACAGGCAGCCTGCAGGAGGGTGTCTGAGTTCAGAGCACAGCCTCTGGCAAAGCTACCGACCTGGGCTGCAAGGTAGGTTCCCAGTGGCCACCCCAGAAACGGGTAAGTTCCTACCATTCCCACCTCCCAATGCCAAGCCTATGAACTGTTTCCCCTGCAGCCAGAGCCCGAGCTGTTTCTATCTCCCCACGGCCCCTCCGTGCCTGTCAGCCACAATCACCCTCATGGATGCACTCACCCATTTCCCTGGAAGTCCGCCTTGCAGCCAGCTGCCCCTTCGGTGCTCACAGCCAAACCTCTGCAAAGTCACCCAGAGAGGGAGAGGCAGAAGTCCTGGCCAGGAGTCCAGTAGCAAAGGGAGAGGGGCCTCCTGCTGTCCCTCAGTGGCAGTTCATTGCACCTTGCTGACCTTGGCCTTCAGAGACCAGAGCAAGAACCTGGCACACCCGAAGGCAAGGCCCTTGTCTGAAAGACTGTCCCTGCCAGGGGGCTCCAGACTGGAGAAATGCTACTTAGGAGTCCTGATCCCAAAAGACCCCAGAGGGAAGGCCCCAGAACCAGACCTGCAGATCCCAAGAGACCCCCATAGGAGGGTTGTCCAGGTGCGAAACAAAACCTGATGGCATCAGGAGAACCTCAGACCCAAAGACCCCCTTGAGGGCATCTCAGACCCAAAAGACCCCACAGAGGGAGGCCACAGACCTAGAGTGCCTCAGAGGGGCCCAGACAGAAAGATCCTGCCCTGGGATCAAGCCCAGACCAAGTTCGGGGGAGCACTGCCCCTCCACACTGACCTGGCCCGGAGGGGGTCTTTCCCAAGCTGAGCTGCCGGAGCCGCCTCTGGTGGGCCCGCCCCCCGCAGTGCACCTGGGCCTGCGCCGCTGAGTTCAGCTGGATGTTGCAGACGTCGCAGAGCGTGTACGACGGCCGTTTTCTTTCCCGCTTGGGCTTAGGCGGTTCTGGGGGCCTAGGGGGGCATTCAGCAGCTCCAGATGTGGAGGGCTCCTTCTCAACTGGGGGAGATGGGCTCAGTGGCCGCTTCATACCTGAGCAGAGAGAGAGGGAAATGTAAGGCTCAATGGTTGTGAATATACATAGAAGGAGCAGAAGGGGTTCACGTCCTGAAGACGTCTGAGCTCTGTATTCCAGCTGAGACTCCCCAGCTTGTGGAGCCCCCCCCCCCCGCCTGAGGATGGCAAAGGGAGCATAATAGGGTCTATTTCAACAAAAGCAGCATGAAAATATGGGACTATCTGGAAGGGCATCAGAAATGTCTACACACTGGAGGCCAAGACACCCGGGTACTCAGAGGGCCACAGAGCAAAGCTCAGAGAGGGAGACTAGGGTCCTGGAGGTGAAGTGGGCGTGGAGGAAGAGACACAGCAGGGCAGTGGAGTCACATCTGGGAAGCCAGAATCCTGTTCTCAGCTCTGCAGCAAGCACTAACAATCCTGTGACAGGCAGGCATGTGGCGCTTACTGGAGACTCGGCAGCCGCTGGCCAGAAACCCAACCTTCCCGTGCCTTGTGCCCAGCAGGGTGACATTTACAAATGGTGACAGTGTGCAAAGCTATCCCAACCCCTGCCCTGTGCAGCTCCAGATGCCCTTGCTGTCCTGGCCACTGAGGCTGAGGCAACAGTTGGTGGTTTGGGTGGAGACCTGGGCCCTGCTGACTGGGTCTGCTGTACACAGCCAGCGCACTCGTGTGCACGCGCGCGCGCACACACACACACACACACACACTCCTGGGACCTCATGTCACCCCTCCATACCCCCCATCTTCCACAGACACTGTTTCCTTTCCAACTCACTTCTCTGGAACTTTCTCTATCTGGCTTATCTCTCTCTATTTCTATTCCGAGGCTGCCCAACTCCCTTTCTCAGACTGAACTGCGTTCATTTTCACTTCCTTCCTGATTCTGCGTGCGCTTCCTGCCTCTGCTGCAGATGGGGGCTTCCTGAGAGCAGGGTCTGTGTCTCTCCCTCACACTGGGGCAACCCCATGCCTAGGGCCTGGGCGAGGCATGACAGCCCATCTCTCTGTTACTAACTGAATTGTATGCCCTCCAAAATGCATATGTTGAAGCCCTCACCCCCAGGACCTCAGAATGTGACTATATTTGGAATAGGGTCTATATCGAGGTAATTAAGTTAAAATGTGGTCATGTGGGTGTGTCCTAATTCATATGACCAGTTTCCTTACAAGAAGAGGAAATTTGGACACAGTTACAGAGGGAAGACCATCTTCAAGCCAAGGAGAGAGGCCTTTCGAGAAAGCAACCCCACTGACACCTTGATCTCAGACTTCTAGTCTCCAGAACTCTGAGAAAATACATTTCTGTTGTTTAAGCCACTGGGACTACGGTACTTTGCTATGGCAGCCCAAGCAGACTAATACATCTCCCCAAAAGGCATTTCCTATGTCTGATGGCCCACACTCACTTTGCAAGTCAGACAAGCCAAGTGATGCTGTGATGTCCTCGCAAGATCACACATCCAGTGTGGAGCCCACGTGCGAACAAGGAAAATTAATTTCACAGGTCCACGGCCAAGAACCTGCCTGCAGTCCCTGGATGCCACCACATTCTCAGTAAGCCGCTTGTCATTTTGTGGGCAGTGGTCCCACGTAACATGTGTCTGTTGTTATGTGCATGGGGCCTGTGTGTGGAGGGGACACAGGGGCACAGCCATGAAGGGCAGGAGCTCTGTGCTGCTTCATACCTGGGTTCAAATCTCAGCTCTGTGGCCGACTGCTGGGTGACCCAAGCCCAGTTCCCTCACTGTACATCTATAAAATGGGAGTGATCGTGACAGTTCCTCAGGCATACACACACCGTGGGGATTAGATGAGCCAATCTCTACAGAATGCTTCTCTGTGTCCTACAGAATCAGCGATTATTAATCCGCAACTTGCGAGTAGAGTCACCTCGTCCGTTGCCCTGTGTGCCTGTCAGGACGTACCTTGGTCACAGTAAGTGTCTCTGTCATGCCGTTGTTTGTTGAGATGAACTTGTGTCACTCAGTGTGCATGTCACATTGTAGCTGTGCCACGGCATAGGTGTCATTGTGCCCATACCATGGAATGAGACCGTCATTGAACGTTTAAGACTCTGTGTGCTGGACGTTGAACTGTGCTCCCCACTCAAAATTCAACTTGTTGAAGTCCTTACCCCCAGCACTTCAAAATGTGACTGTATTTGGAAATAGAGTCATTGAAGATGCTGTTTGTTAAGATGAAGCCATACTGGTCTAGGGTGTGCCCCTCATACAATACATATGACTAGTCCTTATAAAAAGAGGAAATTTGTACACAAACATGTACACAGGAAAGACTCACATAACATGAAGATAGAGATTGGGGTGATGCATCTATCAAGGAACACCAAAGATTGCCAGCGACCCACCAGAAGCTAGGGGAGAGGTGGAGAACAGATTCTCTCCCTCACTGTCCTCAGAAGAACCAACCTTGCTGACACCTTGATCTTGGACTTCTTGCATCCAGAACTGTGAGACAATAAACTTCGGGTGTTTAAGTACCACCCAGTTTGGGACACTTTGTTATGGCGGCCCTAACAAACTAATTCACCCTGGGTCTGACCCTTGCGTGGTCATAGGTGCCTGGCGATTTGAGGGTCCCATCCCGCCTGTGCGATGCAGTCTCAGAGATAGCCTCCAGGTGGCGCAGTGAGCCTCCAGCGGGAAGATAAGAGGCGAAGACCCAGCACCCTTTGGGCAGGGCTCACCCCTGTCCTCCACACTCAAGTGGCAATTAGGCTGTCCTGTGAGAAGGCCCCCCAGTGCACATAGAGCCCCCCAGCGATGGTCTGCACCCTCTCACCTCTAGATGGCGGTCATCACAGCTGCTCTGCCTTTCCAAGTCTTGCCCCCTCCCCAGCAGGGAGAGAGAGGCAGGAAGGAGGCCCCAGGTGCAAGTGTTCAGGGTAGGGGGTCCGACTCCCCAGGGCAGAGGCTTCAGAGGAATGAGATTTTCGTGGCCATGCCAAGGAGCACTGCCTGCCCTGCCAGCACGGGGACAGGGGTATTTTGAAATCTCAGGGCAATTTATGACATGCGGGCCGAGGACATGGCCCAAGAGAGCAGACAAATATCTGCCACGCAGCTGATTAAACCTCCGTGATATACAGCCTCTGGGCTCGCAGGGCCGCCTGGATTCCGGGGCTAATTGTGTCCCCCCAGCAGGCTGAGCTGGGCCTGCCGCGGCCTGCCCTGCCTGACCAGCCTTCCCAGCTGTCCCCTCGGAGCCACACGGGTCCAGCTGAGCCAGTTGGAAAACTCAGAGGTGTGGGCGACTGCTAGGGCACACACAGGCACAGGCATGAGCGTTAGCAGGTCAGCCCCCCGATCCTGGCCGCTGTTGAAAGCCAGCATGCCTCACCCTGGCTGCACCTACCCTCGGACAGGACCTAGTCCACACAGCCTTTAACAGGTGAGGAAACTGAGTCCCAGAGCAGCGTGGCAATAAACCCGGTTTATTGAGGGCTTACCGTGTGCCTGGTGCTTTATGCATAGGATCTCTTTTAAACTTCACTATTATTAACCTGTTATTCCACTTCGAAGATTAGAAGACAGGCTTTGAGAGGTTTTGCAGCTGGACCTGAACGTACACTTGTCTGACTCAGCCCAAATCCTTTCCCACTGGCCTATTCCACCTCTCCTTAAAGCCTGCCAAGCCCTGATGTGAACGGCTGGGTGGGGAGGGGTTCACAGACTCTGAGAAAGGCCCCTGGGAGGCTCAGGGCTGTGCAGCCCCTTGCAGCCTCCAGGGCCAGGCAGGGAGGTGCCACAGCCTGGGCAGGAGGGAGTGGGGCCAGAGCCAAAGAGGCAGGGAGGAAGGACAAGGTGAAAGCAGAGGAAAAGAGCATACATGTACCCATCTGTCTGTCTGTCTGTCTGGTGGGGATTTTTACAGGAAGTGGGATAAATCTCCCTCTGTTCCCCACCTTCCCTGAGAGATGGGCTGAGGCTACAGCAGGAAGGGTGGCGGTTGGACTATGGCAGGGACCCCCTTCCCACTTGAAGGCAGGCTCACACTGAGCCGGGGAGCTGATGGAGGCCAGGGTTCTGTCTGCCTGTCTTGTCTGTGCTGCCAGCACAATGGAGCTGGGGGTGAGGTGGTGGGAACACTCAGGCAAGACCCTGGGGTCCCTTCCCACAACTCTGGCTGAGTGACAAATGCACTTCAGAGCCCTGGGTTTCAGTGGGGTCCTCGGCCACTGTAGGATGGTAAGATCCCCTGCCTACCCATCCAAAGAGGGTCGGTGGGGAAGGACTTTGGAGGCATAAAATGGGGAGCAGAGGGTTGTCTCAGCTGCAGCCTGGGGATGGGGGTCCTCAGGAAAAGGCTGATTGTCCCAAAGGGGTAACTGGAGAAGAAGGTTCTAGGCCTGTCCCTAGCCTTTGGCAGAGCATGAAGGGCTCCCTCACCAAACCCTTAATGAGCCCAATTACATTCTGGCATTTTCTCCCATGTCACCCTCTTCCCCGGCCAGGTCTCAGGCCCTGCTTATGAGAAGGGAGCCTGGCTGGCTGGCCAACCTTGGGCCAGTCCCTGCCCCTCTGGGCTTTGGTTTCCCTTCTTTAAAGAGAAGGGATTGGACTGAGCTAATCTCTTAGGTCCTTTGCAGGCGGAGCTGCAGTGCAACCCAGCAGCTGCTTCTAAGGTGGAAGGGGGTGGAGGCCAAGTGACTGTGCCTTAGCCTGGGAGAAAGGCAGGGTCAGGAGTGCCTGGTAACTTCTACCTACTGTAGAAACATCGCCTCTGCTGATCCTCAGGACTATCCTTGGAGGCTTTACAAATGAGTCAACTGAGGCTC